AGTCTCCCATTCCCCACTGTGGATTTTAAACTGTAAATTATTTGGCTCTCTTTGACAACTCACCTAACTGCGATACCATCTGAGTGGACACTATTTTAAAGTTTCTATCTCAAACGTCTTTACTGAACATTGCTAGGTACAAACAGTAGGTTTGAACCATCGATATGCTTTTTATCGTTTATCGTGTCGTATTATAACAATACAGAATAAATGTAAATGCGAAGTTATCTCTCAGAAAGGCTTGGCTTTGCTTCTTTTGGAGATGTTTTCCACTTGTGTGAGTATAACTGGTAAACGCTTACTGTTCCTGAATTTAACCGGTTATGAATCGTTCGCGTACAAGAATTTACCCTTGTATAGGCAACAATGTAGACGGCTTTCGGAACGGCACCGTTTACAATATATTTAACCTTTGTATAAATGTGATCCATAGTAACCGAACTTTAAAGTAGGCTTTGTTTTAAATGTGCATGCGGGTCCAAAATGTACAATATCTATTTTCTTGATTCTTTTTTATTCTGTAAAATATGTATTCCAGAACATAATGTAATTACAGCAACTAGTGCTGTCCGCGACTACGTCTGCCTAGAATAGGCTGAAGGCGTAATATTTAGATAGAAAGATAGATTTACATAAAATATGTATATAAATTATAGCCTATATTTCATTTTGATGTATAAGCTATATTATTGTAAAGTTTCATTAAAATCCATTCAGTAGTATTTGCGTGAAAGAGTAACAAACATCCATCCATACATACAAACTTTCACGTTTATAATATTAGTAAGGACTAATATAGTAATAATAATAATAGAATTAATAAAAACCTTGTGCATATTTATATAGTAAAAAATGTTTAATCAAATCATTAAAAGAACGACGCATTAATAAGCATTAAAATAAATGTGCACGCTATTAACTTTATTTTTTATTCGAAAATCAAAAATTCAGCGAATAAGGGTGTATAGTGGAAAATTAGCAATATCCCCAAAGCGTGAATAGAGACTCGAGTAGATTACGTCTGAATAATTAATACAGAGTATCCACATTGGAGATATGTCCGTATTTGCCGAGCATCGTTGAGTGTTTGCTTAGCTGTGATAAGAAAAAATCTAGGTAATCCAACAAAGCCTGAGCATATTTAACGATTGTGCATTGTGCTTCGGCTTATTGTGAGACAGTTGTTTGCGATGGGGTTACGTTACAGTACACTTGTGGCAATTAAACCGCCCCGTCTCGAAGCGGAAATTGCTGGCTCGTATTTCGTATTCTCTTCCGAACACTTGCGTTGCCGATGAGTTACGTACGATGCATTGTTTACTACTCGAGTGTCTGCAGCTTCAGCCTTCATTCGTAATCATATCGTACTATTGTGTTTTAACTGGAATGTTCTACTTGGATATATTATCCACGATGAAAAAGAAACGAGTGTATTTTAATAATATAAGAGTTTAAATTTGTTTCCTCGATAAATGGATGATTAAAAAATAAGGCGCTGACGTTACGGTATTTGTCAAATATTATTTCGGGTCGATATGACGGGTGATCAGAAGGAAAACCCGAAAAGAATATAAACCGGTTCGCGGGCAGGCCGTGTCTGCTGACTTTAATAGAAAGAATTCACTTTACAGCCTTCTCAATGTTCAAGTATTTATGTAAACAATTAACGATTTTATTGTTAATTTGTTTTAAAATTTCTGTAAAAAATCTTTTAATTTAACAAAGTCCACTGTCAGAAAATACTGAGAATATCCAAATTGTTAATATTACTGAACTGTTTGTAGGTGTTTGCTGTTAGTACTTACGCTAAAAAATTGAAGCTAGATTATTATGTAATGCGCAATTTTTTCACAAATGATACCATCGAATGGATATGGTACGGCGCACTTGTGCGCAGAAATTCAATACATTCACCGAAATAAAAATCGGTACGAGCCTTTGTATTGCTTTCATTTCATATAGAATATTTTCCGTGTCGCTGTCTCCATAATATGATTCATATGACTTCATTTCTTGTTATTGTATTGTCTACTCGGAAACAATGATTGCGTGTAAAGTATGTAGGTTGATGACGAATCGCGATGCTAACTCGACCAAAATTATTTTTATTAAGACGTTTTAAAAACGAAAATTTCACGTGGACAAACACCCAGATCCGAAATAATTATCTGTGGCTCAAACAAAAAGGTGTCTCGTGCGGCAATCGAACTTACGACCACCGACGCCGAAGCCCTTAGCAATTATTATTTATTTATTATTTATGTAACTTATGGTAGATTCGTTTCATCGTCAACATCATCGTTTCAGCCCGCTTTAGTCCACTGCTGCGCATATGCCTTAGCTTTGTTTAGCATAAAATATGTTGCTGTTTTTGAAATAACTAATACTTTTTTCCGACATTTCTCTATGTATTATTTATTCGAATTTGTGTTACATTTTTGAGAAAAATGGGAATCAGTAATGAATTATAAACAAGTTTCCTGTATGCTATGTGCTATAGAGTAAAGACCCATTTACACGGTGCAAGTTTCTTGCCTGTTGTATACAATTAAATTGAAGCAATAAATGAGTTGCATGGTCTAAACAACAAATGGTCTAACAAATTATTTATTTGCGCGGAATTTATTGCATTCAATTATTGCAATTATTACAAGAAAATGGCATCGTGTAAATGGGCCTTTAGTGTTGTGTTCAATAGGTATAATTTAAGTCGGGTTTCACTTTTCAATTTGAAGAATTATCATGAATCTTTTGTTAATAAAATATTTATCCTTTAGATTTTTCATAATTGTAAAGGGAATCTGGCAGCTTAAATAATTAAATATGAATTCTACTTCTAATGAATTAAAAAAAAAGATGACTGTATTCTTTGACTTTTATCTCTGTGTAGTTTTTCAAAAAAATAATGCTTAATACCACATAACCAAATTAAAAATTATTGTAAGCTATTTAGATAGTTTCGCCTTAGCGGATGTATTTAAAAATAATCCAAAAAGTTGTAGCATCATTTTAGCCTTTTCCTCCTTCTGAATGTGCGTCGTCTTGTTTAAACGTGTGAAATGCAATAATTTTATCCTTGCTTGGTTGCCCACGATATATAAGATGAATTAAAGTTTGTATGAAAATGGTTGAAATAAAAATCACAAGGTCTTCGTTCGTGTGGCATTCAGCCGTTTAGCTTAGTGTCTGGGCGCGAATCCAGAAGACGAGGTTTCGATTTCCGCAGCGGCTAAAAACTTTGTCCTTTTCTTTTTTTACAAATTTCAATGTGTCATCTTCAGTGCAGACATTAAGCAAGATAAAAATTTCAAAAAAAATCATCCTTTATAAAATTTCATATATAGCAATGAGTGAAGCTTACAATATTTGTTTTATTTTAATTAAACTTTTTTCGTCCAGTCTGTTATAGGATTCCTGATGAGTGAGTGGTTATTATTACGACCTTATTTGATTTAGATTAAATTAATTAGCCTGATTGGCTGTTCATAATTCGAAACCGAAGTTTTGTTCCTAACGGTAAGTATGCACAACAGTGTATTTAATAGCCGCTTATCTCCTCTTCATATCGAGCCATTAATTTCATCTGTTTCGATTTTATGGACGGAAAAGTGGTTAACAGGAAGGTTCCCCTCTATATGCCCTCGAAATTCCATTCATAAAGTATATTGCTTTATACGCCGTAATATTGAGATACCATCACAATAGGAAAGTTCGTAACTCGTTGCATACACGCCGATATTAATCTTTTGTATTGTTCGCCATATACATATAATGCTGTAATACAAAGTTTGTGAGTATTGGAGGAAGTTTGTAAAAATTAGGTTTATTTTGAGAAATGAAAAAGAATGGTATTAATTTTAAGATGACGTTCTTTTGAGATAAATGGGACGCGCAGCCTCGATTCCAATTGATTATTGTTACAGACAACTGGTAGGATACATTTTAATCAGTGATAACATCCTATTTTAAGTGAAAATAAATTATAATACGACATGTATGTCTTGTAAATATTTAATTCCAGTTATAAAACGTTGTGCATATTACACATTCTAAATAAAATAATTTATGGCATAATGCTTTAGTAAGTTGTTCACGAAAACATTGCAAAATAATGAAGTCTGCTATAGTTAGGCAGTTAAATAAAGCTTGTTAAACAAAACTTTGTTGTTCAACTCGTTTGGTATACATTTTAAACTTCTATTGAACAGATGCTGCGGAGTGCTGACAGCTCGCTGCTTCACTCTATTGTTTTCTTAATTATAACATTTTATAAATCAAACTCATGATTATGTCTACGAAAGTTTAAATTTTAAAGTGATGGTGGTGATTGTTTTAAATATCGTCGTGATATGCCAAGGATAGTTGGACAGCCGTCGATTATGATGTAACGTGTTAGTATGTACTGGAAGTACCACATCTAATAGGACATCGGTGTAAGCAGATGAATTTAATGTTTAACTCAATAAGGTAACGGGGTCCATCCTCGTATAGGTTGCTAGTGCAACTGCAACTTTAAGAGTCTACGTATCAGCACCTTGTTATAATTTGTTGTTTGGTGTGAAATTTTATACTAGTACCTGTGGTAGGGCCACGCAACAGCTTCTGCTGCTGTAACGAATAGGCATGTCCGTCCGGGTGAGTACCACCATTTCACAGAAGACCGGACTTGATGTGGAGGTGTTATACTTCTGCGTTTCACCTGCTGAGTGGAGTAATCGGCGGCCATGCTATTAAAAGGTTGCAACGCATCTGTAACCCTGCGGTTGTTGCAAATGTCCATAGGCGGCGGTTATCGCTCAGCATCTGGTGAACCGCCAACTCGCTTGCCACCTTCTCATAGAAAAATAAGTCTGGCGGTGTATGAAGCGACTGAAGGTACTCTGTTAAAGTTAGTAACGTTCTACTCCACTGGTGGTGAGGCTGTCCCTGGCGGTCGTTATCTTTTACGTCCTTAAGGCAATACTGTTCACAAAAAAAAATCGTGACGTTGTTTGTTGCAGCGACTAAAGACGAGTCGGACGGCGACGGGGCCGAGTGCCGCGGCGGTCGGCAGCAGAACGGCGGCGGAAGGGGCAAGCTGCCCTACAACGGCTACTCCGAGGAGTGCCTGGACAGGCTCGAGCCGAACGGGAACATACCCCACGACAAAGACTCGCATTATGGTGAGCCGATGAGCCTACGTCTTTTTTCTTTTCTTTTTCTAGTTTTGTTGCGGCGCTATGTTTAGTTCACGATTTTTGTGACGTGACGATTGATTTCGTTATTGTACATGTTTTTTATGGCACAGTTGCTAAGCTATTGGCTTTGCACTGACGAGTATTTTGTGTGTCCCACGATTATTGTTCCCGATCTGGGTAAACACCGTTGGGAAAAAACATGGGAACAAACGTTCCCATAGCGGGTTGACGTTGGGCAGGCGTTGTTGATAAAAATATAGCCAAAAACACTTACGACATGATCCACATGTTGTGATAACCTCACCAATGTGGGGATAGGAGCATGTACTTATTTTAAAACATGTAGAAAAAGTACGAAAAGATTGTCTCCGCTGTGGTAATCGAACCCACGTCTTCGGCATTCGCGGCCTGACGCTCTAGCGTACTTTTTCTACATGTTTTAATATTCAATCTTAAGTGCAGTGATTAGCACTATAAAAAACTTTAAAATTAATGTATTTATTTATTTGTGTACTACATATCAGCAACTTTTTGAGTACGTTGCCTATTTGGTATTCCTTTTTCGTCTTATTATTTTGCGCTTGTCACTACTCTTTGAACATTTAAAATAATAAATTAATGTTCAATAGTTAAATAAATAATTTAATGTTCTTCTTATTTATTGAATTATTATTGAAGCCGTGACAGCTCAGGTCGGTTATATCAACACGCTCCAGTAATCTGAGTTCAAATCCTGGTGCTGAGTCCAATTACATTTGTTTGATACAATTTTAAAGTGTTGACTTATCACGTGCTTAGCAGTAACATCGTCAGAAAGCCTGCGTATTTTCAAAATAATAATATAATATTTTGAAATTCGCCAATCCTCGGTGGCGACTATACTTTAATGCTCTCCATACAAAGGAGGCTTTTGCTCAGCACAGTGTAAATAGATGTTTATTCATTAGTAAAGGAATTTGGGATCTATACGGATGATGAGTATAAATTGCGTTCTCCTAGAAGCAATGCACGGTCGTCAAAAGCAGTATTTGGTTTTAAGCGATAGAGTTTGAGCGCTGTCACGGAACTCGCGATGAAGACTGTTTGAAGGTTTTTTTGAGTAGAAGCAGAATTATGAATGAACGAAACCCTGTACTATATCAGGGTTGTCATTTGTTCAAACTAATTTGAATGTATATTTCTTTTAAGCAATGTAAATTATTGTACACGTCTCGTTTAAATATTCACTCGCTTTAAATCATTGAATTTATTGCCCCTGTGCACATTTTCATTTCCCGAGGCGTTCTAATTCACATTGCAACCATTAAAACGGGCAACTAGACGCGCTCCGTTCACTGAATTTACTATTAGTTGCCTAGACTTAGTGCCCGTAGACGTTGGATTCGGTTTCACATGATTTACATTACGCTCCAGCAAGTTCGGACTACGAGTTGGATAGTCTAACTTAACTTATTTATTAGAGGAAATTTGAATTCTGTGGTTCATTGCAATGGTATCTAGATTTGAGGGTAAAACTTTTCATAAATTATGAAAACTAACAATTATAGAGTAAGATTTAAAATTAACTGATCAACATATACATAACTAGGTAAATACTCAACTTCGTCAATTGTTTTTGAGGTAAGGTATATTATTACTACATATTACGACACTCACGAAAAGCCCTACTAGGAATAGTGTTTCGTACCACTAACATAGCTGACTTGTCTACATAAAATCATCTTTATTTGTAAAACGTATCCTGATTTGCTAACTATCGCATCTGTATTCAAACAATGGAGCGAAAGCTGTGAAATATATATTCTTTCAGATCTTAAATTACGGCTTCATACAATGAGTAGTCTAATTGGTTTCTTTATTATAAATATCACGAGAGATCGACGAAAATTAGCCTCGCTGTCGACTTGTTAGCCGCCCTGCTAAATAATAAAGCATGTATTTCAATGTTTGTCCCATTTGTTTTCCAGTTTCATATAGACATAATATAGCATCTTTGCCTTTTCTGGCTAACTCTAGGTGAAATACATTGCACATCACGCTGACGCACGTAACAGCATAATCGAGTTAGAACTTAGCGCCACGAAAGATAGATATAGCGTTCTTGTTTCAACTGACTCCGTTCGCGATCGCGATTATTTTCTCCGCGCAGACACCTCGAGGAATAGTGGCGCGTGCTGTTACTACGCTGCGACCGATATTGCCCTCTGACTTTTAAATTATAAGCGATCCAGCTACAGTTAAGCGGCGCGGTCTAGTTACTTTCGAGTTTCGTGAAAGGATTTCGCCGTCTGGATTTCATTATGTTCGTGTTTCGTGTATCGACGCTTTGTTGGGTTAGTTGTCGATGGCCGCTCGGTTTGCTTTTATGTAGTGTAACATAGTAGTCATTATTTTGTTTTAAGCAAAACACACGCATCTTTACACTATTTAATTGCGAGCCTTCCTGTGGTTCTTTATAATTTTTTTTAAGCCGTACTGGCTTGTAATATTTTCCAATTATTTACTCAAAACTTGAAACATCCTCCCCGACTCCACCAGTGGGAGATCGGTGTAGGGGTTCGCTCCGGCTGACTCAATCGGACCAATCAAGACCACAGGGTGAGGCTCGGTGACCCAGTCACGGGGACGGACAGAATTTATATTAAATAGGCGCCAGCCCGCCCCGTGCAAGACAGAATAATGCTTATTCTAAGGGATTTACTTAGTGGAAATAAAAGATACATTCCTTAACAGTTTTAGAGTTTATTGATACAAGGTTTGAATATTAAACTAAACTATATCAAGTTAAAAATATAGAAGGAGTGAGATCTCACCAATTAGGCATAATAATAGTTACATTAAGAGTTAAGTATACATTAAATTAATCACTGTCACAAAGCAATATATAAATATAATCATGAGTTTAAGGCTAGTTACAGATTAGAGCAAAAACATACCAGAAGGAACCAGGCTTGCCTTCCTAGTTTCCAAATAAGTGTGAAGACCTCAGCTCAGCAATCCTCACATGCCACCGAGGGGCATTCAGCTAGTCCGCGGCTTCAAGTTGCACGTGGACAGCAGGACCTCAGATTCTTAATATATATGCAGTTGCATACAAGGCGAACGCGTGGTTCGATATCAAGCCATCAGAGAGAAGCAGCTCAGCGAGATAAAGCAGAATAATAATAGGAATAAGATTTAAAAAAAAAAACCCTGTAACAAAATACGAATTGTTAACAAACGAATAATGGACTGAAAACGGAGAGATCCTAAAAATATATACAACAAAGGAAACTTACCAACGATGTGGGTTTTTTATATTAAATACATAGGCCAGGAAGCCATATTCAAGTAGGATGTCAACGGATGTGGCCTAAGATGCCACATATTCCTCTCCTACATGCTCCTACTTAGAAAGGAGACGTGTCGCCACCAGACGCTCCAACAACACAAACAAACTTCAAGACGAAACCGACCGCCGTTCTCCTCGGGATGACAGATGACACAATCAACATAGTCAACGTTTCTAAGCGAAAATTATGTAAAAACAAATTTGCTTGATATTAGTCCAATGTAACTAAAATGATATTATTTTATATTTCGAGACAATAATATCACTAGCACCGAAATAATCCAAGAAAATAAACTAAGGCAAAACAACAAGGTGACTTAGCGCCATCTATAATAACTGAAATATAGATTTTCTAAGGTTTCATTCAACTAAATTGTATTGTTCACAACAGATGTCGCTATATTTTCTACTAAGAATCTCTAATATAAGCCACTCGAAACTCAAGGGTACGAGGCGTAGAAAAAAAAGTGTTACAAACTTAAATCTATTTCAATGTTTAAATTGGAAAGGTATCAATATATCTTTGTTTTTACAAAGTTCTATATTGATTAGAGCAATAATGATACAATGCCCGAGTTAAGGATTTTGGAATTTTCGATAGTAATTTAGCTTCTTAGGTTATTTGTCCTGACCATGGTAACTATTCGTGAACGTATTATTTTTTGTCAATGATATTATATTTTAAATCTTGAGACTTTATTTTTATCTTTAGTGATAAGGAGCTTATACATGTGTCTGTAGGAATTTAAATATACTGTTTTGATTTTATTACTGAAAAGAGTCTTATATCTTTGGAATGGCGATTTAAAGGATGCTTCATCCAAGTATATATTTTCAAAAGGGCGTAATCAGCGAGTAATCACGCCTGAATCCTAGTAAGTTTTTGCCCTATAGCTGCTAAAAGTATTACGAGATATGAAAAAAGCATTATTAGTTTTCATAAATTTCAATTACGTCTACTTTTAAATGTGTTACGGGGACAAAATGAAAAATAAGAGTATCAAATGCATTCTTCATTGAAAAGACGAAACTTTGTTTTTAAAATTCATGAGAAAAGGAACGTCGAACGGCCGTGAATAATGCACCTCAGTGAATGAAGTATTTGTAAATTGTTGGAAATTTATAGTTTCAAGAGTTTCTGATAAAGCCAATATGTATGATAAAAGTGTATATGAATTTGAATGTACAGACATTCATCGAGTATATGTAACACTAATCGTATATCGATTCACAAATTAATCTAGATACGTGTTTCGACAAAAAATCAAGTCTTCTCCTTAACCCAAGTATACTACAACGAAGTGGCGTAAAGTAAACGCCCTTTTATCGTTTACAAAATAACCATCTTGCACCGTTTCATAAACGCATTCCCTGTCCAAACAGCGTCGGCTGGGCGGCGAGGCGCGCCGCACTGCGCTCATCATATGACATCGTCCCGTTTGACATATGTAAATACAAGCCGGATAAATATTTATGAACCAATCGGTGAGCGTGCGCTCCCAATTTCAACCGCTCGTTTGTTGCTTTTTTATATCATGGTTAACGTTTATTTCGTGTTGACGCTTTTAGATGCTCCTAGGAAATAAGGCTGCGGTTTTACTGGGGAAAATAAAATTGTCAGATATTTAGTATATCATCACGTCCACATTCCAAC